GTGGCAGACAGATGGGAGACAAGTGGGAGACAAATGAGTAGCGTTTTTTTAGAGTAGTGCCGTGAGAAATCCTAATGAGCGTTAGAGAATCCTTTTCTATGAAGCAAATCAAGAACCCTTCAGCTAAAGCTGTTTGGGGAATAACTACTTTTGACTTCCCTGCATCGTGCACATTCATGTGCTGCTCTTCCACGATGCCGTATGGATATAGATGCCACGTCGTAGGTGATGGCATGTCGTTGCATGTGTATGTGCACGAGGGAAGCGGCATGCAGATGAGATGTGTAATGCCGAGCACGGATAGTACTCTGCCACACATTTGTACGACACATGGTCACATGTTCTGCGAGTACAACATGCTGGCTCGGGGGTGACTCTGTGATACGTTACTTGTTCGGGGCACCTGTGTTTTTGTTACACACCCCATAGTCAGCTGGCACCTGTAACATATCCATCGCGTCTTCCGTGGACCCAGAGAGTCTGCTTGGAGCTTCGATGCAACAACTGTGGGCGCTCTTTCTTTCAGCGAGTACTTTGAAGGAATGGTTCCCCGCATGTCGATCATCTTGAATAGGGTCAACCTTTTGCGATGGGGATCAGTTTTTCTCCTTGACGGGTTTGTTGCATAGGTTCGTCCCGTGTGTTTGATTCTGAGTATTACAGCAGTGCACTGCGCAATCATTACGGCCCTTTCGCTCAAAGCCGTGCCAACCTACACCCTGGGGCTCCTTGCTTGCAATGCCCTGCTCTGCCGTCCTACAAGAGGTCCCTATGAGCTGAAAGTTTCCCCCACTAAGGCAAACCACTTCCCTGCGCACACCCTGCATTGTGGTTGCCAGGGCAAATTGAACAGGGAATGGCAAGGAGCACGCTGACGACCCACTTGATGACATGGGGTGCATGATTTACTGCTGAAGCTGTGTAATGCACAAGTCCGTTTAGTAGATACAAGGCTGCGGAGCAGCTGCCGTGTCTGGACCGTTTGCGCCGCAAATTGTTCTACAGTTGGGACCGAAAGCAGGAACACGGCCTGATTGAGTATGCATCGGACACTGTATGTGCAGGAGCGTTTTGCGATATGGAGCACATCGCCTTGCAGTCTGCTGGCATGTACTTCTTGGCGGCCGATGGAAGTGCATGTGCTATGTGGAGTGATGTGGCAGGGTCTTCAACAAGGTGAGCCGCGCTCATTGATCATGCCTGCATGATGGCTGTTGCCGGACATCATGACTGATGGCTGCTCAGAATCTGCATGACACCTGTATTGACACCTGATGTTAGGCACAGTGGCTGACAGCTGCACGGAATGCGATATTTTGCATGGATTCCGGAAGTTGATAGATTGCAGAGAATTTGGCATGGACGATGCAAAACATGGTGAGCTACATGGGATGCCTTCGCGACTTATGCCTTGGGAACCTGTTTTCTCTGCTTTACATCTTGTTTGGCGGGAGTGCTGCATACTCGACTTGGTATTGATACCTTGTTGCATGTCAATATAGGAATCTAGTGATTTGCTGCATGGGACCGACGAATCAAGAGTGCTGACGACCACAGGCGGCATGAAATCTGGCGCTGTGCAGTCCGAGACTTGCATGCCACACCACAAGGAGGAAAAACACCTTCTGGTGGTGGAGCTTGTCTCTGTCACACGTGGGGGCGACCAACATGGAAGCCATAACAGAGAGACGATACTGTGCCTCGCCTTTCTTTACATGTCGACTTTATATTATCGTGTCTTACTATGCTGTCTATGCCTTGCCCCATTGTGTTTTCTTCTAGCCCTACATGTTAGGGTAGCAAGTTCGGACGGATTGAAGCCATGCCTACCTTGAGCGAGTGTGGCAATCGAAACCTCTTGAACTTCAAGCCCCCATAGCCGCTGAAACACCCAACCCCATTCAAACCCTCCAAGCGACTAAAGCCCAGCTCAACCGGCAGATCTTCTCGAAACCCCTAAAACAACGCACTAACACCGCAAGTCCTCCTAGTCTAGAGCACGGCTCAGCTCTGTGGCGCGGCGCCGGTGGCCGCTGCAACCCCGTGGATTTGCGCCGCGTCTTTGCTCCGACGCCTCGCCGAGGCCCGGCTGTCTGAAGATTGGGGGGAATTTTTTGATGATGTTCATATGAAGGCTTTTAATTATTTCTTAGGATTAGGGTTTTGATTCCTGCGTGAGCAGCTCTCTTGTATGTATGCATGTACGTATAGGTGCATGGGTGGATGGGTGGGTGGATGGATGCATGGTGTGTGGAAGCGTGGTTATGTAGATGTACACATGCATGCATGGGTGGATGGATGGATATATGAAGGGATGGAGGTATACATGTTTGTACGCATGCATAGTGCGCGGGGTGTAAGGAGAAGAACATGTGTCAGTACAGTTCTACATAGCAGCACTATTTGCACACACATGTACGTATAGGCTTCCTCAAGCCGAGTCGAGGTCTGTCTGTCAGTCTGCTTGTCTGTTTGTCTGTTTGTACCTTCGTATGTATTTGTGTATATGGGTGTATATATGTAGGTAGGCAGGCAGGCAGGCAGGCAGGTAGGTAGGTAGGTAGGTAGGTAGGTAGTTAGGTAGGTAGGTAGGCAGGCACATGTTCACGTATGCATGTATGCATATATGTTTGTTTGTTTGTTTGTATGTTTGTTTGTTGTTTGTTTGTTTGTTTGTTCGTTTGTTTGTTCGTTTGTTTGTGTGTAACGTATTGTGTTGAGTTGAGTTGAGTTGAGTTGAGTTGAGTTGAGTTGAGTTGAGTTGAGTTGAGTCGAGTTGTAGTGTATTGTTTTGATTTGTTTTGTATGTGTTTTATGTATGCATGTATGTATGTATGTATGTATGTATGTATGTATGTATCTATGAATGCCTGCGTTAGTCTATGGTAGTCTATGTAGGGATGTATGCATAAATGTATGTATGTGTGTATGTGTGGGTGGTTGCATGCATGCATGTATGTGCGTAAACTGTACTATCTCAGAGGCCTATGCCTGATTGAAAAGCGCCCACAGAGTTGGATCTGGGGCTACTGGTTAGAGACGCATACCTTTTTACCTTGAGGTTTAGAGTTTGCGCGGTCAAGGATGCGTGCCGGGGGTTCAACATGTCCGACGCCAGAAATGTTCTTAGCTACGGCTTTTCGCGGAATCGCGACCGCCGACAACGTCGACGGGCATGCTGTTTTGATGGTTCTCGAATATCAACGGACTGTTGATGATTAAATGTCTCATTTGTTGTTGCCGCTGAGCGGTTCAAGAACGGAGAATTGGTTTGATAGTTGACAATGGTTTAGAAAGTTTGTTGCCATGGATCGAGGGAAACCCTGTGCACGGGCACGAGGTGCTTTGATCGGACATGATTCAGATAGGAGGGAATTGGGTTGTAGGTCGGCTGGCGTCGGATTGTCTCTGGGGTATCGCTGGGCCAAGGTTGGCAACTTTGACAACAAATAGTTTCTAAAGTTGACCACGCAAGCGAATCCTTCAAGGTGCCATTAGCAGAATCGCGGTAAATTCGTGGTGGATGTCGAGGCGAAGAGATTTCACAACAGTCTTCAAATCGTGGAGATACACGTTTTTCCGGCAAAGCAGAAGCACGTTCGAGCTAGACTCCCGGAGCTGTGAAAGACTGGCATAGGTGAATCTCTATTTTTGTTAGCCGTATCGGTGGGACCGAGACAGTTCCGAATGTGTTGGCTCAGGGTGGAGGGGATCTGGCGAAACCCTGGGTTCAAGATGCAGGCGAATGCGAAGTAGGGTGTAGCACGAACATAGCGGACTTTTTGGAGATGCCCAACACCCGCCAACGCGATCCTGCCACAAGAGTTGCCAGGCATCGACGCCGCCAGATGCCGTTTGCTGCACTGCTGCTGTGAATGGCCAGGAAGCCGTCGTGTTCTTCTTAATCTGACACAACTATAAGGCCCTAAAGCCCAAAGCCTCCATAAGCCCGAGACCCTAACCACTCACCGGCACTAAATCCTGAATCTTCAATCCTAAATCCCCCAGATCCTCAAAAGGTGTGTTGGGCTTTCAAGGCGCGGCACGCTTGATGCCTACAAGTCGTGGTTCACAGGCCCTTCACTGTACTCGTCCTCTGGCATTTCCGGTTTCCTGGTCCTCGGGTAATTACTTCTTCTTGTTACCTGGTCCTGGTCCATAATTGTCTTCTCCAGGCCGCGGTGTGCATATATACATATATGTACACACAAATAAGATATAAGTACAAACATATGTGTATCTGTATAAGCGTATATGCATATGTGCATGTATGTGTACATGTATATGTATATGTATGTGTGTTTTTTGTATATGTAAGTGTATATCTATGTGTATATGTATGAGAGACATACCTCTAGAGTCTATTTCACGACTCCTTTCCTTGCTTATACAGTGGAAAAATTATAATACTTCGACCAATTTGACTTATTCTAATTATTTTAATTATTTTCAGACCCAAATAAAGAAAATAATCGAAATATTTAAAATCGGCTGTCCTTAACGCAATGGAATCAACTGTCCTTAAAGCTATGGAACCAAGATCCACACTATTTTAGATAATAGAAATAATTGAAATAATTAAAGTAATTACAATCGGTTGATTTCAATTATTTCTATTATTTATATTATTTGGAACCGAAAATAATTAACATAATTAGAACCAGCGGGTTTATTTATTTCACTTGTTTCAGTTGTTTCAATTATTTATTCATTTAAACTCCTGCGAATCCTACCTTGGCCACTTAGGAGGAAAGTGGTTTTAATCATTTGAATCATTTTCAGGCACAAATAAAGAACAGAATAGAAATAATGAAAACGACTGTCCTTAGAGCTATGGAACCAAGATCCACACTATTTAAATACTAGAAATAATAGAAATAATTGAAAGATAAAATAACTACAATCGGTTGATTTTAATCATTTGTATTTTATATTATTTGGGACTGAAAATAACTAAACTGATTCAAATCCGCGGATTTTAATTATTTAATTTGTTCAATTATTTCTATGATTGAAAATCCTGTGAATCCCATCTTGGCCACTTAGGCGGGAGGGGACTTTAATTGTTTTGATTGTTTTCAGGCCCAGACAAAGAAAATAATAGAAGTTTTTAAAATCGACTTTCAATTAGTTGAATTATTTCAATTATTTCTATTA